TGCAGGGGCGGGTTTCGGGGGAGGCGTTTCACCGGGTGAGAAGATTGTTAGGTAGGGCACACAATGGCATACAGGATAGCAGCAATGCAGCGTCTGTACTATCGGGTAGCACCCATCAGCAGCATATATAACGGCAGTAATAACTCGGCATCGGTTGAGGTCTGGCAGGGCCGTTGCCTCTCCCTTTGGAGGAGGTTATTTGCCAAGGAGGATTCACAGCATCCTCATGCCACCATCGGTTCTCAGGTTGGTGTGGACTTGAGTAGTCACTATGTTTTCTAGCAATAATCCATGGGACGCAAAGCTTGAAATAATTTCGAGGTACCTGTCAGCTGAAGTTGACGCAGAAGATTGCAATTCCAGCCGGCAGATCAGGCAGGCCTGGGCAGCTTCTCCTGAAAACTGGATTCTCTTGTTTGAAGTAAGTGACTGCTTCTCTTTGAAGAAACTATAAAGGTGTATTTCCATGCACTGTGACCTCTTTTTTCCTTGTTACTGTTGTAAATGCTGGTTTTAATGGATGTTTCTTACTTTTTTCTTTGATTTGACGATGCTGTAAATGGGAAGAAATGGAAGAAAGAAAAATCAAGAGGAGGAGCCCCAAGTCATCTACCAGTCACCCTGCTCAGGTTGCTAACACCAAGAAAAGCACGGTGCCAGTCAGTAAAAGTACAGCCTTTTCAAATCCTGCACCACAGCCTGCAGCACAAAAACCAAAGTTAAAACGGTAAGCTTGGGAGCAGCTTGTAAGCTCAGTGGAAGTGAGACCCAGGAACCTGCCAATGCTCAGATGGACTGAAGGGTGTTTGGACTGTCTGGGACTGAATGAAAAGAGTGACCTTCAGTCTTGTGAAAATTTTTGATGCTGTGTCTTTTTTAGCAAAGTGATTTGTGTTTAACGTGATATAATGGTTATCTTACAGAAAGATACTTTTCTTGTAAGCTTTACGAAATGTTACACAATGCTGTGGACTCATAACAATTTAGCTGAAGAGATGATAGCCTCATCTGACTGGTGAAAGAGAAGAGTTGGGGGATCAAATATGGGAAATATGGGTGAGAGACAGCAGAGCCCCAGATGTACAGCTATGAGGAACAAATAAAATATTACATGACTGCAAGGTTGGAAGTGACAAGTAGGGCAGGAAATAAAGGATGTAAATTTAACAGGATGAGCTAGAACCGGAATGTCTGTGGTTTTTTTGTTTGCGGACCTATCAGTGGGGGCAGTGGTAGCTCCCAGTAACATGTATGGAGAGGTGTATTCAGCTCTTCAAAAAGTACCAGTTTGGAATAGTTTGTGTGTTATTTATGATACATCTATTTCAGTTTGAGAATGTTACTTTTCCTGCATGTTAGAAACTACATTTCTTGGCTGTGACAGATACAGTAGATAAATCGGTGAAGAGGCATTTTAAAGTGAAATGATAGCTAGAGAGAGGCAGATGAGTTTATTGAGCTGTAAGTATTAGCTGAAGATTAAATACTGAACTGTCATCATTAGTACTGGTAGTCTGTTTGAAGGACCCAGGAGTGGCCTGATGAATAATGAATTTCTGCAATGTAAAGTCTGTACATTTATTTTTCAGGGAAAATATTCAGTGTTAATATTTTGAGGGAAATAATAATAAATACTAATGTGCTATAAATTGGTGGTGCCTGCAGCTGACTGTACATTTTAGTTAAGTCTCAGCACTCTTCTGGAATGTATTAGAAATTCATTTCTTGTAGCCCACAATATTGGCTAGAGAAGAAAATGTACTTTTTGCTTTCAGTTTTGGAAAAGGACATTCTTGCTCAATTGTTAAGTGAAACTTACCAAGCAGTGATAACACAGACAATTTCTCGAACTTCCTAAGCAAGAATGATAATTGATATAATAATGTGAGGATGAACTGGTGTTAGGATAGTGGAGTAGGAGTATTTAATTCATTTTCACTTTGTATAAAAGACTCTAATGATATAAGTTTTCCAGGAGCGGTAATATATTGTATTAAACTTCAGATACAGGTAAAATAAATTATAAGCTTTCTGGCATACAAACCTTTCTTTAAGTCTGAAATTGAAGCATATAATATTCAAAGTTAAACCTGAATTGAGATCTGTTGTTCTGAGGGGAACCAGATATTGAATTGTTGCACCATTAGTCATTCCAGTGTATAAACTATGTATTCTATATGATGTTTATAGACTACAGAAGCTGTTAGGCTGGAAAATGAATTATTATTTCCCACAGGAAAGAGAAAATTTATGACTTACAGTGCATGGGGGTATTCAAGGGAAGGGTGGGGCTTACTATGCTGTAAATGTTATCTTCACTAATTAAATAAAGCCTCTTTACTAAGTATGTGATTTTTTTTTTTTTAATAGCCCATAGTATTCTGAATTTTAGTTCTTAGGCTCTGAATTTTTCACTGAATCAGATTCTGAACAGACTCGCCATGAGGCTGCAGAAGCAGCCATGCCAATGTGAGAAGAGGGCTGTGTGCACATATGGATGAGCAAATCAGGGATGAAAACAGCCCCTTACCTGAATTGCATTAGGTTAGGATGCAGTCTGTTTCTGGGTCAGAGACAGAATGTGCAACTTCTTACTGGTAATTGAGTGTTTAGCTTCCATATTGATTGCATGTTCATTTGTACTTCTAATGGTGAATCCATTTACATTTGTGTAGTTTTTATGGGCACATGGTAGTCTGAATAAATTTTATGTCTAGAGAAAAATGTATGGGATCCAGGAATTTTGATGGTTTTTGGTACAGAGGGGGCTGTAGAGAATTTTTGGCACATTTAACATTTGTTCAGGCATAGGCTAGTTCCATTTGGTATGTGTTAGAGGATGGGGAGATTGCCTTTGATAGTGAGTTTTACAAAATTCCGATGTTATTTGAAGGTGGGATGGAGGAGCTCTAGGAAAATTTATCTGGAGGCAAGGTCACCTTCCTGTATAGGTTATAACAAGGTGTTTTTCCTCACTGGTTGCCTACTATAGGTGTGTGTGTGACAACAGGAGTGTTATGATTGGTGAGGGTCTTTTTTTCCTCTGGCTTAAAGAGTTTTGCAGATGTCTTCTGGATGATTTTATGTAGATAACGCACCATGTGTCATTATTGGGTAACGGTACTCTCTGTGCAATATTAAGAAGGCCATTACATACATGTGCTCTATTGATGTTTCCCACTATTAATAGGAAAGCAGATTGTTGGAATCCTTCATTTTGCAGTATCACTGTCAAGATAGTGATGTTTGTAAGACAAACTTGTGGTCCATTTTCTAATTTAAAAGGAGTGACTGAAATATGTATTGTATATTTTTCATTTAATTTTGAAAGCCAGCTCTCAAATTGTCCTACATTTCAGAGTCTCAGTGGAAGTGAAAGCAGGAAGTAATCTTTTTGTTTAATCACTTAATTTCTTCAGGGTAATAAAAGAGAAAGCCAAACCTCCAGGAGGTGAAGCAAAAGGGGCACAGGCAGCACCAATCCAGCATTCATTTCTCACAGATGTATCAGATGTTCAGGAAATGGAAAGAGGACTTCTGAGTCTTCTGAATGACTTCCACTCTGGCAAACTTCAAGCATTTGGTAAGTGCATGAATTGTCAGTAAATAAGCTGCTTTTATAGCTGTTTATTGATAACATTTGCAATGAGATGTGCTGTATGGACAGACTGCCAGTTTGTCATACTGGTCTCTGCTATATTAAAATTAAGTTTAACGTGACTTAATAGATCTTACTGCATTTTTAAATAATGGTCCTATTGTAAGGTTGTCTTTGGTGTGAGATGATTCAAATGCCATTTCATTGTTCCTTCCAGCACGTCATACCAAAGGCAGTACCTTGACTTATGGATTTAAGATACTAAGTTTAAAGACATTTATGATAGTATAGGAATAACAATAAGTAACTGTATTTAGCACCTGATTTTGCAGCATATTAACTCTTTAGACTGCTGTTACCAATTTTTGTGGAATCCAGTGCAAGTTACATTTCACACAGCTTACTCTTTTGTCTTAGCCTCTTACTATTCTTACTACTTCACAGGTGATGGAGGTTTCAAAAAAAAAATTATGCTCTTCTGCTTCCTTTTTCTTGCCCTGTACTATGTACAAAGATGCATATGTGCTTTTGCAAGTTTAGTGTTAGGTCAGCATGTCACCTTAATTCCACACTTATTTTACAAGAGAACCTGAAAAATCTGTATTATATAAAGCATCAGTTACAAGAAAGAAACCCCCAAGATTAATCAAAATCAGAAAGAACATTTATTGTGATCATATTTAAAGTTGAAAATACAAGGCCTTCCTAAATCGGAGATCAATTCACAGAATATAGAAAAAAAACCCACGTAAATTCTAAAAAACAGTTTAGTACAGTCAGTAGTTATTGTAAATTCAGTACAACATAACACCAGACAGGATGACAGAGACTTCAACAGTGAAACAGGGAGAAATCCATGAGAAAGCAAATTGTAAATGTGATGTTTAAATTCCTCTTCTCTGATGTAAAAAGCTGCATCTTCACACCTTTATTTGCTCTCTCAGGTTTCTTTATCTAAAGCTGATGCTTGTCCTTCTAGGAAATGAATGTTCCATAGAACAGATGGAACATGTGCGAAGTATGCAGGAGAAACTTGCTCGCCTCAATCTGGAGCTCTATGGGGAGCTGGAAGAACTCCCTGAAGATAAAAGAAAACTAGCCAGTGACTCCAACTTGGACAGGCTGCTGTCAGATGTAAGTACTGGGAAGGCAGAACGCACAGAACTTTGCCCACAGAACTCAGCTGAGGAAAACACCGCTACTGGGTGGGCAGTGATTTACAGTTGAGGAGAACATAGTTCTGTAATGAACCAAGACAGAAGCCCTAGCCTCATCTTGGTTTTGAGAAAACACAACACCTTATTTTCTTTTTTTATAGACTGCTGTTTGTTTTGGTGAGCAGAGCAGTCTAGCTGTAAACTGTCTGAGGATGTAGGCCTGTTCGGAGACAGCCAGCACACCAGGGAACTGACAATCGTCCCTGTGGTCTGTCCTACTACATCTAGGGAAGACCACACATAAAAAGAAATGTAGATGTGTATATTCTATACTTTCAGTTTCTCCTTTCTCTAGTGTATTTCCATAAAAACCAAAACTGTTAATTTCTTTACATTTCCTGAGGTAGGCAGATCTAAATTTAAGTTGGGACTTAGCTCTGTTGATGTAGAATTCAGTGCAGGTTTGCTTTGCTTGTTGTAATAAAATAATACATTTCAGCCAAAACTATTAGTGTTTTGCTTTATTGTTTTGATGTATTTATTTAATCATATCAGCATAGTAGTTGCATTTATATTAATTTATAACCAAAATGCCATTTCTAATGCTTTCTACATTTATATTACAGCTAGAAGAACTCAATTCATCTATGTATCCTTTTCCTTAAATGTCTTTTTGCATTATAAACATTGTGAACTCTGATCAGTATATTTCCCCAGTAACTGATACCTTTATAGGAGTCAAATAGCTTCAATAATGTCCTTTCTTTTAAATTAGCACTGTAACACAGCATGGATTTTACATTCTTCCAGTATATAAGTGACTGGATCTTAACACTTTTACTTACAGGCTTTTTTTTCATATGGTGACTTATTTAGCTAGCATGTACCGCTACAGACAATGTGTTGACAGTAGATGGCAAAACCCATCAGAAGCAGGGTCTTTCTACATGCTTCTTGCTGAGACATTCTGGAACAAACATACATAATATTCATCTGGAGCAAGTCCAGACGAGAGCCACGAAGATCTTCAGAGGGCTGGAACACCTTCCATAGGAGGAGTTGGGATTGTTCAGCCTGGAGAAGAGAAGGCTCTGGGGAGACCTCATAGCAGCCTTCCAGTACTGAAAGGGGGGCTCCAGGAGAGATGGGGAAACACGCTTTTATCAGGGAGTGGAGTGATAGGACAGGGGGTAACAGTTATAAGATGAAAGAGGGAAGATTTAGATTGGATATGAGGAAGAAATTTTTCACTGTGAGGGTGGTGAGGCACTGGAACAGGTTGCCCAGAGAAGCTGTGGATGCCCCATCCCTGGAGGTGTTCAAGGCCAGGCTGGATGAGGCTTTGAGCAATCTGGGCTAGTGGGAGGTGTCCCTGCCCATGGCAGGGGGGTTGGAACGTGATGATTTTTAAGGTCTTTTCCAACCCTAATCATCCTATGATTCTATGAGTCCTTTGAGTCCTTCTGTAGTATTCAGAAGGTTTCTGTCCCATTACTAAGTGAATCCTATTACCTTTTAATTTTCTCTAGAAATACATGCAGCTGTTAATCACTGATTTTAATGTGAATACTGGACTGACCTAATTTTTTATTTCTAGGGTCAGACTATGGTTGAGTCAAGCACTTAAGTTGGTAAATGAACAAATGCGTGCTTTTAGTCCACACAGAAAAGGATAAAGCTAAATGTCTTAGCTTGTCTTTTACATCATGCTTTTGGTAAGCAAAGATACAGTTGAGGAGTATTGCATTCAGTTTAGACTACAGTCTAGTTATTTCATGTTACTTAAGATATGGCACTGGTGTATATATATTCTCTGTGTGTGTGGAAAGGTGTTTAAGGCTAGGTCTCATAAAGAACACAAGTGGAAGGTGATAATAATACCACATAATAGTGATAAAAATAATCTACCATCCCTTTTGATCTGCCAGCTAATTCTGGAGAAATGTAATGCTTAAGTCTCATCAAGGAAGATTAATCTACTGGTTGAGAACCAACATAGGACTTAAAAGAACTGAAATCATCTGCACTGGTCCGTACCCATCTCAAGACTAAGCATAGTTTTGTGTAAGGCTGCTATCTTGTTTATACCTTATCTATATGTGAAAATGGTATTCCTTAATGGTTTGCTTCAGCCAAAAACTACATTTAGCAGATGCTCAAGATATTCCAAATAGTGCCACGGGCTGAAAGAACAGCTTTGTCAATTTGGATTCTCCTAGAAGCTTTTCTTTCGTTACTCGTGACTGTGGAATCTGGAACAGTTAGGGGTTGTTGTGGTTTTTTTTTTTTTTAATTTTACACAATGAAGAATCAAAGTACAAATTCAAGTGTTTGTTTTTGCACATTCCTCTTTGAGTACTGCATTAGGTCAGGACTCAGTATCTAGAGTTAATAAAAAGCATAGCATCACAACTTATTGCCTTATTTAATAGAAAAACTGGAGAAACATGGAAGTACATTTGTTCTGCTCAGTGTTGTTCATATGGTTGAAAATGGCATATGTATATAAGTTCATTAGCACTTCTCCAATTTTTATGAAGGTAGTGATGATGTTGCCTTTCTGATCAATATGTAGACAATCTGCACACTCTATCTGTAGTGTTTTGCTCATCAGTGATGTCACAGATTATTGTTAATAAAGTAAAACGTTTTAAATACAACATTTCATTTAGAGAAGTTGCTATCTGTTCAGGTGTGTTAAGATGATACGTGGTCTGAATGTTTGCAGAGTTTACTTTTTCATTACTATGAATAATCATAAAATGTCACTAAATTAGAACTAGCATGCATGCTAGCAGTCCACATAATTCGATTAAGGATTGTGAAATTACAAAATGGGGTAAACAGTTATTGTTTAATAAATCCAGTATATGCAATTTTGTAGTCATTCCTATGTTAGAAAGAGTCTGGTATTAATTGGTGTTATCTTCGTGTTCACAGTTAGAAAAAATTCTGTATTAGTATAATATCAGTCTAGTTTTAGATCAAAAATTTCTGTCCTGGTCCATCTAAAATCTAGAGCCAAAAGCTTAGTTTCATTCCATTTTTAGGCAATACATTCAGATTCTACATTGTATATACTTACTGCCCAAGGAAGGAAATCTTTATCCTTCTACTTGAGAGTGAAGTTTTCATCAGCCCAAAGTGGGCATGTGGCCAGGGAACAAAAGACGCCTGTTGTTTGTCATCTTTGGAGAAGATGCTGCTTCAGCCACAAGATGTAGTTGTGGATTCCATTAGTTCCAGCTCCTTTCTGAATCACAAGTAGAGCCAAGTCTGTGCTATGCAGCTGGGGACAGAAAGATCATTTAAACACCACAGTGTGCTCTGGCTACAAATTCAGCCTCAAACATTTATTTCCTCCCTCACCTACCAGGCAGATCTCAATGGTTAATGAACTGGTAGGGATCCCAGTTGGGCTTTTCCTTTAGGATGTTCTTGTTCTTACATAATTTATCTCCATTGTTGAGATTCTCTAGAAGTTCTGCATGCTGGTGAAAGTCCCTCCAAGTCCCAGCCTGCTGTTGGGTATGCCCCTCTATTCTGTTCTGGTGAGACCCCACCTGGAGTACTGCATCCAGCTCTGGAGTCCTCAGCACAGGAAAGACCTGGACCTGTTGGAGCAAGTCCAGAGGAGGGCCATGAAGATGGTCAGAGGGCTGGAGCACCTCTCCTATGAGGACAGGCTCAGGGAGTTGGGGGTTGTTCAGCCTGGAGAAGAGAAGGCTCCAGGGAAACCTTACTGCTGTCTTCCAGTAGTTAAAGGGGGCTTGTAAAAAATAAACTTTTTAGCAAGGTCTGGAGCAAAAGGACAAGAGGAGATGGTTTTAAACTAGAGAATGGTAGATTCAGGCTGGATTTAAGGAAGTAATTTCTTTACAATGAGGGTGGTGAAACACTGGAACAGGCTGCCCAGAGCAGTGGTAGTTGTCCCATCCCTGGAAACATTCAGGGTCAGGCTGGATGGAGCTCTGTGCAACCTGATGAAAATGTCCCTGCTCATTGCAGCAGGGCTGGACTAGATGACCTTTAAAGGTCCCTTCCAAGCCATACCATTCTATGATTTTGAGATGAGAGTTAGTGGTATTAAATTAACTACCTCTTTCTTTGAAAATAGCAAGACAAATTATTAAGGGAGACAGCTTTTGTTTAGGAAATTTACTGAACTCTAAAAATAAGTTTTAACATAAATAGGTAGGGACAGATTTTTTTTTTCCCCGCAGTAAGTTTATTAAAATGACAGCTATGTACAACTGCTAACATAACCATGATGAGTTGTGTCTTGAAATTCTAACTTGTGTAAAGGAACTGAAACATAAATTTACCAAGGCCTACTGACCTAATAATGTAAGTGTTAAGAAGGTTGTGTTTTAAACCTATAGTAACACAAAGGTACCAGGAGCAAAGGCGTAACAGTCAAGTAAAAAAAAAAAACTGGTTAAATTTGCGTCATGACCTTCTGTAAACTTAGTTCAGTCACTAAGAAATCGGATATTTACTGTGGAGTTCAATGGCACGTTAGAGCCTTATAAACCACACACAACATATTGAGACTTCACAACTCTGTCACTTTCTTTGTATTTTATATTGGATATTGATTGTTAATGCCCATATCCCCACGGATCCCAGTTCACGGTTATGTTGCAGTGCAAAGTATTTCACCTTTAATAGTGTGTATACAGGGATTCTGAAGCATCAGGGTGTGATGCTGAGCATTTTTCATATGCTTCAACTCTTGAAACATTATGTATTTGTACTTTCAGTTCTACTCATTCCAGAAATTAAAAAATGCTACCTCTCTCCTCACCCTCCCAAAGCAAATCATCTCTAAAGATGAGATTGACATACTCAGTTCTCTATTTCTTCAAACACAGTTTCATGATTTTTACATGAGTTATAATCTAACCTTTCACATAAAAAATGAGGGAAATAATTACACATTTCCCATAAAAGGCAATAAAATCCAACTCCTGCCCTGGGACAGGATGAGACATGGGAATGCTTTGTCCACATAAAGTCTCAAGCTTATAAGAAATCAAAACTCCTGTTTTCATGTGGATAATTTCCCTAACCATTCCTGTGTATAAACACCTACTGTTGTGGGTGTAGCAGGTGCTCTGAGGATACTTTTTTTCTAGAAAGGAGTTGCTCAGAGCTTATCTATCACAGGGAAGCTGGGCACAGATCTCACTTCTTAAAAATGAAGATGGCAGCCAAATCTGGCCTAGACTATCCCAAAGCACACAAGGACAGGAGCAGGCTTACCACATGTTGTTTCTTCTAAGTGCATTTGCATTTCTTGCCTTCTCATGCAATTGAATCTGGCACTTCATGTCAAACATCACATACATGAATCAGTTCTGTCTATATGCAAACACTGAGTTCTGAGTTCAGAAACTGTTTAGGATTACTAACACAGACCACGGTTTTGCCAGCAATACTGCAAATTCATTCCTTTTTAATTACAAATAATTAAATTCACTGTCAGTGATCTATCCCTTGTGCAATCTCACTATCATCATCACAAAATATGGGCTTTATTGTCACAGCCCTCTTCACTCACTATAAAAAGAAGATAGAATATTTAATATGAATGAGTACATACCAGATCCTCTGTTGAGTTCCTGGAAGTACCAACCAGCATGCACTGTAAAGCATTTCAACAAGACATCAGAGCAGGCCCCACATAACAACTGCACTGTAAATGGAGAGAAAATATCATTAGACTTGCATCAATAAAGCAGAACAATGTAAACACAGTTCTAGGCTTCAGCTGGCTCACAGTGAGGGGTTGTGACAGCCTTCCGACGGTTACAGTAAATGCAAATGAGCTGCAGGTCAGCTGCCGTGCTTTAATTTGTAGGTACCAACCTAGAAAGACTTTGTGCTACTTGCATGTTTGCCTCTTTGCTCTTGAGAACGTGCTACTGTTGCTGTACCATATTATACCATTTCTTTAAAATCGTTAAAAGCTTGCAGGAAAAAAGTATTCCACCAAATCACATCCTTTCAGCATTGCTTTTGAAGAAGCAAAGGATATATCTGTTGATCTGGCAGCAGAGAAAGAGATTGTATCACTTTTTAAAAACCAATTCTCTAGATGTTCAAACTACTGGAGATAATTTCAACACAAAATGCTGTGAAAGCAACTCTCGGAATGCACTGATTGATAAGGGTGACAGCATACTGCGCCTAAGAAACAACATCAAAAACGCAAATATCTGTGCTCATGTGATTTGGCTGTTGGTGCACAAACAGCTGCATGGAGGAGCTCAACTTCTCTCTTCATCCTAATTAACTACCTAAGACATCTTTGTCTTCTGATGCAGCAGTGATTGTTGTCTTCTGCACCACCAGTAGATGCACTGTAAAATGCATCATCTTTATTAGAAACCATGAGGGTTTTATCCTAAGAATGTGACTGAAATTTCAAGTTGGCAGGAGACTTGGTTTCTAACACAAGGCAATTTCTGGAAGTATCAGACTTCTAAGTTCCAGATTGCCCCAAAACAATTGTTTCTGAGAAGGTCAGGAAACTACCTCAACAGATCTCATTTAAACCTACAGCCATGGATCCAGAAAGTATACAAACAAAAAAAAACCTGTGGTCCCCTCGAAGCAGCCTAGCACTCAAGAGGTTGCTAGTCTGAAATGGAAAACTTGACAGCTGTTTCTCAATTTTTGTCACACACATTAGAAAGCTGTCATCCCTTGGGCTAAATTTACCTTGGGAGAAGATAAAAATGTGTCAAGTGTGGATTTCCAAGGAAAATGATTACCAGTAATTTGTACTTTAGAATCTTCAAAAGCATGTTTTTAAAATCCATGCTCCCCATATGACAACAGTACTGGAAAAGGCTTTTTCTGCCATCAAACCCACTAAGACATGGTATAAAAACAGAGTGCCCGCACTGCCTAAGTTTATAAATCTCCAATCCCACATTATTAGTTGTTTTTTCTGCCAGAAAAGTTGTGTCTTCAATAGCAGATGAAAAACTTGTTGCAATAGAACACACTATTACTTCTGTAAATGTATTTAGACAACTGCTCATGAGCTGGATCGGACATAGAAGAACCACCCAAAGGCTCTCTTTGAGTAGGGTTTCAGAAACATCCTCAAGCTTCCAAAATTGTGCATACTGGGAAAAAATCCCAGCCTGGCAGGGATGTAACCTTGCACATCAGGGCGCTGACTCTTCACTCATTCTCCCTAATGAAAAAGTCTAAGAAATAACACCAGGGTGTAATGGTGGGAGATTTTTAAATCATTGACTCTACTGGGCATTTTCTTCGAAAACAACTCTACAGTAAAATTGAGCCTGA